TTTCTGCTGAAACTGTCCATAGCTAACACCTCCCAACAAAGGATTCCCCCAGGTAGGGAGCAACCAGGCTTTGAAGTTGCAAGGCTATTCAATGCTAATCAAGCTGGCCAATGGCAACATTCACACTTGCCTCAAACAGACAGGAGTTCTCTTCTTCCTTTCTGCTGAAATTGTCCACAGCTAACACCTCCCATCAAAGGATTCCCCCAGACAGGAATCATCCTGGCTTTTAAGTTGCAAGGCCATTCAGTGCTAAATCAAGGTGGCCAATTGCAACATTCACACTTTCCTAAAGCAGACAAGAGTTCTTTCTCCCGCCTGGACATTCCACAGATATATAAACATCACTTTCCTAGTTTCCAACAAACCTCACAACCTCTGGGGATGCCTGCCAAAGATGCGGGTGAAATGTCAGGAGAGAATGCTTCTGGAACATGGCCATACAGCCCAAAAAACTAAAAGCAACCCAGTAATTCTGGCCACGAAAGCCTTCGAGAACACACTGATCTCAGTCAAAATGTTGGGAAGGGCTCCTGGGGCTTGCAGTCTGACATACAGAAAGATACCCGATTCACATCAATCTTAAACCAAGCATCTCTTCAATTATGAGGCTGTCTCCCTTCTCCTTCCAATTGTGTACTACACTGCCCTCAATTATTTGGGAGATCCAAGAAAATAAAAATCCACCTGGAATGAAGCTGGATGCAGGTTTTTGGATTGAAAACACTCTTATTTATTTATTTATTTATGTATGTATGTATTTATTTATTCACTTTGGTTCAAGATTTCCCCCATAACAGAACAAAAGTTATCATGCCCTCTTTCCTATGCAAATGAGGAAATGATGAAAGCTCTCCTGCCCCCAAAGTGTCACCACATCCTCGAATAAGGGAACAAGTTGGGACTGCCAAGCTGTCTGCTCTATTTCTTGTGCAGCATTAAAAAGAGGAGGAGCGGCTCAGGCGGCGTCCTTTGCGAGTAAAATGGGAAATTAATTCAACAAGGCAAACAGGATAAACAAACAATATGGTTCCTCTGGGTTGCATCAGCCCTCCTGGTGCATTTCTCTACAGGAGACCCAAGGACAGAATACAAGGAAGTCACACTCTCGCCTAAGTTTTTGTGACCCACTTCATAGAACACACAGATTGTGCAGAAGGAGCAGTTGTGAGTCAGAAAAGGACTTCGAACGAAGGTTGAGAGAGAGAAAATCTACTGAAGTGCTGTTCATTAGGAGATTACAATCACCAGACACTTGAATCAGTACAAGAGATTCTTATCATACGGCCTCTGTTAAATGGCTTGGTTGGTGCCTAATTGTTTGTGTTATCCGCAGGCTTTTATGAATGGCCAAGGCTAAGAATGCCATTGTTACTCTCAGGACTTTGCTGCCATTCATTTACTCTTTGACTTTACTATCTGGAATCTCATCTACAGCCATATATACTCTGTACCTATACCTGAAATTATCATTATCCAGGAGTCTGATGAAATAGACTATGAATGTTCATGGTAGAATCAATTTGTTAGTTTTTTAGTTGCCAAATTTCAGTGTTTTCACTTCCCAGATTGGTTGAAGGACTGTACTAGAATGGATCCACTTTGCTCAGGAATGGGCAAGCTTTCTAACTCAGGGGCCGTATGATAGCACTCCCTGCTAAGAAGACTGGCCGCCTCTCTCCTTCCTTCCTTTCCTGATGGAAGGAAGGAAGAGAAGGAGGGAGGAAGGAGGGAAGGACGAAAGGGAAGGATAGAAGGAAAGTGAGAGAGGGAAGGAGAGAGGGAAGAGGGAAGGAAGGAAAGAAAGACAGGAAGGAAGGAAGGAAGGAAAGTTGAAAGGTTGTAAGGGAAAGATGGTTGGAAGGAAGAAAGCGCTGAAGAGAAGGAAGGACAGTGAGAGAGGGAAGGAGGGAGGAAAGAGGGAAGGAAGGAAAGACAGACAGGAAGGAAGGTTGAAAGGGTGTAAGGGAAAGATGGATGAAAGGAAGAGAAGGAAAAAGAAATGGAAGGAAGGGATGAAGAGAAGGAAGGAAGAAAAAAGAGGGAAGGAAGGAAGAGAAGGAAAAAGAGATGGAAGGAAGAAAGGGATGAAGAGAAGGGAGGGAGGGAGGGAGGGAGGGAGGAAGGAAGGAGAGTGAGAGAGAAAGAGGAAGAAAGAGGGAAGGAAGGAAAGACAAAAAGGAAGGAAGAAAGGCTGAAAGGATGTAAGGGAAAGATGGATGGAAGGAAAAAGAGATGGAAGGAAGACAGGGATGAAGAGAATGAATGAATGAATGAATGAATGAATGAATGAAGGAAGGAGAGTGCGAGAGGGAAGGAGGAAGAAAGAGGGAAGGAAGGAAAGACAAAAAGGAAGGAAGAAAGGCTGAAAGGATAAAGGAAGGAAAGACAAGAAGGAAGGAAGGAAGGAAGGAAGGAAGGAAGGAAGGAAGGAAGGAAGGAAGGAAAGGGAGAGAGGGAGGGAAGAGGGAAGGATGGAAGGAGAAAGGGAAGGAACAGAGGGAAGATGGAAGGAAAGAGGGAAGAAGGGGAGACAAAAGGGAGGGAAGGAAGGAAGGATGAAAGGGAAGGAAGAAAGGAGAGGAGGAAGGAAAGAGAAGGAGGAGGAAAGGGTGGAAGGGAACGCAGGGAGGGAGAAAGAGGAAAGAGAGAAGGAAAGAAAGACAAAAGAGAAGAAAGGAAAGACAAAAGTGTGGAAAGGAAGGAAGGAGAGAGGGAGAAAGACAGAGGTAAGGAAGGGAAGGAGGAAAGGAGCAAGGAAAGAGAGGGCGGTAAGGAGGGATGAAGGGTTGGAAGAGAATGAGAAAGAGGGTGGGAAGGAGAAAGGAAAGAAAGGAGGACAGGGTGGTGAGACAGAAGAGGGCCTGAGGAAAAAGCCCAAAGGGCCGCATCCAGCCCCCGGGCCTGGGTTTGCCCATACCTGACTTAGCTGGACACTAAGCTACTGTGTAATTCCTCCTTTTGAAAAAATTTAAAACTCAATCCCTGCTCCCAATAATATCCTCAAGTCCTTTTGCTTCCACAACTATATCAAGAGTTCAGTGTGGTACAGTGCTCAGCACATGCAAAAGCCCAATGGAAGGTACCTCCAAACAAATGTCTCAGTCAACCAGAGGTCACAAAGGATAGACAAAAACACACGATAATTGGGGTTTTTGTTTTTTCTTTCTCTGCTAGGCATTGGGAGTGGAAAACTTGGGCTCCCCCCTTTCCTCTTCAGCAGTTTCATCTCACAACCCATTTAGAAATGCAGCATCCTAACAAAAATTCATAGCATGCTAAATAAATGACAGGAAGCACACCTAGCAACTCTCCTTTGCTTTATAGCAAGGGTGGGGAACTCTTCTGTCTCTGCAAGATGAACTTCCAGACCGTTCCGCCCACTCAGGAGGCATGATGGTCTGAATAGTTAGTCCTGATCAAAGACCTGCTGAATAAAGGGAATTTATATAAGGGTTGGCTTCGCATTGATTGAATCAGTCTACACTGGTTAAACAAACAATAGGATTTAGGTTAATGCCAGCAGGTAAGAACTCCGCTTTCTCCATGGACAGTGGCACAGAGCAATTCCTCCTTGTTTGACTTTCCATGGAGAAAACACCATCCCTTTCAGCACTCGAGAAAGATTCCTGGCCCTTTTCCCCCTGCTGATCAGAGACAACATTGAGGATTCCTTTGCCTGTGCTAAGAAAATGTCTGCTTAGTAAACAAAACAACTTTCTATTGCAGTGTCTGTGTGTGTGGGGAGGGGGCTGACAATATTATGAAGAGTTTTGGAAACGAGCCTCACAACCATTTTGAAGCATTACACCATCAATCTCACTTCCAGGTGCATTTTTGAGACTGCTGACCTCACTGAAACAGCATCACAACAAAACATAGCAAGGACTTGTGATGTAGATTTGGGGACAGAGCAGGCATGGGCAAACTTGGGCCCTCCAGGTGTTTTGGACTTCAACTCCCACCATTCCTAACAGCCGACCGTGTTGTGGTTCAGTCTGAGCCTGAGCTTTCTGAACTTGAGTTTCCTCAGGACGAGAAGGATGATGGGTTACAGATCCTGAACATGGTCCGGTTAGTGAGGCAGTTGAAACAGAAAGTGTTGATTCTGAAGAAGAGACGGCATTTCTGTTCCCCAGAGAAAAGAATGTGGTTGTAGATAAAGATAGTGAAAGTTCGGAGCTCCAGGTGGAGGCTCCTTCTGGGAGCGCCGGGCCTCTTGGTTCCCAGGGTGACCAGGCCCGGCAGGGCAAAGATAATGAGCTAACCGGCCTTGAAGATAGTGGAGATTTGATTAGAGAGGACCGTTTGAAATTAAGAGTTTGAAGAAGCGCATGCCTTGCCAAAAAGCGTGAAGCTAGAGGTCAACATAATGCTTTTATGTTGGGGAAACTTATTTAATGATCTGGTCGAAGGGCATTCTCTGTCAGTCCAATGTTGCTTTTACCCTGTTAACTTCTGTGGAATTACCTTGGCTTTTGCGGAAAGCTTCTGGCTCTTTGGGACTTTGATTTTGCTCCTGATTTTTGGAGACTTTGTCTTTCTGCCATGGACCTTTGCTTAACCAATGCTAAAGGATTATGCTTCATGTTATTTGCCTTTGGAACCTGGAAACTTTGCCTTTGCATTTAAGGCTCTGTATTGCTCATTGAACTTTACTTCTTTATTTCTCTGCTTTGATTTTGCTTTTTTCTTGATAAACTACAAAACCTACAGCCTTGGTGTGTGGTAGTGTCTTGGGCAAGGTGAATCTATCCAGAGTTGTGACAGACCGGCTGTTAGGAATGGTGGGAGTTGAAGTCCAAAACACCTGGAGGGGCCAAGTTTGCTCATGCCTAGACAAAAACATAATTGTCCCACACCTCTGGGAAGAGGCATACCCACTTCCTATTATCTATCTCCCTCCTGATCAACTGAAGAATAAGGCAATACAGAAACGCAGAGGTAAGTACATTCTTTCCGTAAGGAAACCCTATGGCACAAGCTCCCCCCCCCCCCCCCCCCCCCCCCCCCCCCCCAGGCACAGAGAGCAAGACAAGAATATGAGTAAGCAACACTTGAGAGGTTGGCAGGTCACTTCTGAGCGAGCTTTGCAATGAGTTTCTTCCATTCTTCTCTCTTGCTTGTTATATATGAAGGAGTAAGGAGCTGCAACATGGGCTCCTCTTGTCCCTGGAAGAATTCTTTGCACAGGACTTCCGTGTTGCAGATGACGTACATCCCACAGTCATAGCTGTTCTGCTGGGCGGGGGCTTTCTCTTCTACAAAGGCAATCTGGCCTCTTTTGCCAAGAAAGGGCTCCAGTTTCGCCGCAACCCGTCTGGCATGGGCAGAGTTGCTCCTGGTATGGGAATCATAGTGGGCAAAACTGTTTTTCCCCTGGAAGTAAACCAGTAGGCTCCAGTGGGTGCCACCAGCAGCCTGGTTGGAGTTGTCATTAATGGCCAGGAAAACAATTTTCCTTTTATGGAGGTTCAGTGGTTCAAGGAACAGAGCCAACTCCTCCTGGCTGGGGCTGCACTTGATGAACTGAGCCACCTCGGGGCTAATGAAACAGACCTGATCAGCAAAGTCTTGGAACTGATCACAGGCAAAGTACTCAAAGGCAAAGCCAATGATGTGATCATTAAGCCAGCAGGGAGGGTCCAGCAGCAAGACATCCGACCGCCTCAGCAAACTGTCCATGTAACTCAGAACAACAGGGTCCATTCTAGGCAGGTAATGTCACAGAAGCAAGAGAAATTCCAAGGCCTAAAATCAAGGGCGAAAAGAACAGAGCACGGTTACAACAGGCAGAGCTTTTTTTTAGCCTCAAAGATGGCCATTTTTTGTGTCTGTGTCAGGAGCGACTTGAGAAATTGCAAGTCGCTTCTGGTGTGAGAGAATTGGCTGTCTGCAAGGACATTGCCCAAGGGACGGCCAGATGTTTTACCATCCCGTGGAAGGCTTCTCTCATGTCCCTGCACGAGAAGCTGGAGCTGACAGGTGGGAGCTTACCTCGCTCCCCGGATTCAAACCACCCACCTTTTGTTCAGCAATCCTGCCAGCACAAGGATTTAACCCATTCTTCCAGCAAGTGTGATGGAAGAAGCAAAGACCACCAGCATTGAAGTTATCTATCTGAACGCATCTCTCCCTATGAACCTTCCAGGAACTTGAGATCGTCCGAGGAGGCCCTGCTCTCGATCCCGCCTGCTTCACAAGCACATTTGGCAGGGATGAGATACAGGGCCTTCTCTGTGGTGGTCCCTCGGCTGTGGAACTCCCTGCCTAGTGATATTAGATCAGCCCCCTCCCTCCTGATCTTTCAAAAAAGAGAAAACCTGGCTCTTTGAGCAAGCGTTTGGAACCATAGCATGCCCAAAAACTCAAATTGGAAATGAACTAGGAACGGCTAAGAAGATGGAACGGTCGGGGATTTGAACAAAATGACACAGTTTTTATAATTTTTATTATTCATTGTTTTTATGGTTTTTAAATGTATTGTGATGTTTTTTGCTTTTTACCGATGTGTGTATTTTTATATATGGCATCTAATTGTTGCCGACTTGTACGCCACGCTGGGTTGCCTTCGGGCTGATATGGGCGGGATATATATGTTGTAAATAAATAAATAATAAAATAATGCTCCTATGTTATCAACTCCACTGGACTGGCTATGTTGTTCAAATGCCCAATCACCATCTCCCAAAGCAATTACTATACTCCCAACTCAAGAACGGGAAATGTAATGTTGGTGGACAGGAAAAGAGGTTTGAAGATGGGCTTAAAGCCAACCTTAAAAACTGTGGCATAGACACTGAGAACTGGGAAGCCCTGGCCCTTGAGCGCTCTAACTGGAGATCAGTTGTGACCAGCAGTGCTGCAGAATTCAAAGAGGGCAAAAGGGAAAAACGTTGCAAGAGGAAGGTGCGTCAAACCAACCTTGACCAGGACCGCCTTCCACCTGGAAACCATTGTTCTCACCATGGGAGAACATACAGGCTCCACAGCCACCTTTGAACCCACCACCAAGACACCAGACTTGGAGGACCATCATCCTTGGGCTACGAGGGATCACCTAAGTAAGTAAGGTTAACCCATTGCGCCACTGGGGACTCCTAAAATGGCCAATGGAGTCACAGATGCCAATTACCCAACGCGGATTTTTACCAGCCACTTTGTATTTGGGCTCACCAACCCCTCCTTCAAGTTTTCTGGCATTTACACAAGGAATGTGCAGGAATTTCTTCCCGTTTGTGCCTGGAAAAGGTGTGAAACAATGGGATAAGAGTCCTATTATAACTTTTATCTTAGTCAAACCTCAACATGATAAGATAAGACTTGATTCTCAGTCTTCAGGGTGAGGCTTGGATTTCGGAGGGGTGGAGAAGATGTTGTTTTGCTCGACTTTTCAGGAGAAGGGATTGGTGCTGTTGGTGCACAAGAGCACTTTCCCCAGCAAGCAGATCGGTGGGTGTCTCTGACTAATAGAAAAAGAAGCAACTGAATCCAGGGCAGGTCAGCTTAGACTAGGACTAAGAATTGGTAGCCTTCCAGATAATTTTGGGGTTCGCTACCTATTATGGCTAACCATTAGATGTCCTGAAAGAAGCTGGTGGAAGTTTGTAGGCTAGAAACATCTTCTCAGGCTAAACTCTAACTCACATAATTGGTATGAATATATAATGATAGTGGGGATGGTGCAGGCAGAACCATATACTGCCTTGGGCATCTTATAGAAATGACAGAACAGACATCTAAGCAGTGGTTCCAACCCTTGAGCCTCCAGGTGTTTAGGACTTCCTGGCAATTAGAGAAGCTGGTTGGGCTTCTGAGAGCTGAAGTCCAAAACACCTCAAGCCAAAAGGTTGGGAAGTGGTATGGGAAGTGGTAACACACTTCTTCTGTGCAATAATCTGTGAGATGTTTGTCTAGCTCAGTGGTTCTTAACCGCTGATCTTCCACATGTTTTAAACGCAGGTTCGCAGACGCAGGTTCGAAGATGCAGGTTCGCAGATTGGGAGTGATCCTGGACTCATTGCTGAGCCTGGAGCCCCAGGTCTCGGCGGTGGCCGGGAGAGCTTTGGCACAACTAAAACATGTGCGCCAGCTGCGCCCGTACCTTGGGAAGTTGGATCTGGCCACGGTGGTCCACGCTCTTGTCACATCCCGATTGGATTAATGCAACGCACTCTACATGGGGTTGCCTTTGAAAACTGCTCGGAAACTCCAACTAGTCCAGCAGGAGGCAGCCAGATTGCTCACCGGAGCATCATACAGGGAGCATACCACCCCCCTGTTGTGTCAGCTCCACTGGCTGCCGATCCAATTCCGAGCACAATTCAAAGTGCTGGTTTTGACCTACAAAACCCTATACGGCTCCGGCCCAGTGTATCTGTCCGAACGGATCTCCCTCTACGTCCCACCTCGGAGTCTAAGATCTTCTGGGGAGGCCCTGCTCTCGACCCCGCCTCTATCACAAGTGAGGCTGGCGGGGACGAGGAGCAGGGCCTTCTCGGTAGTGGCCCCTCACCTGTGGAACTCACTCCCCGGGGAGATTAGATCAGCGACTTCCCTTTTTTCATTCAGAAAAAAATTGAAGACCTGGATGTGGGACCAGGCTTTTGGACATTCTGGCAGCTAAAGGAAAGACCTTGATGATGGGCAGGAACTGACGGAATGGAATGGATTTATGGAACTCTGAACACTGACCATGAGATTGTTTACTATTGTGTTATGTACTGATGTTTTTTAACTTGTTAACTGTTTAATTGCTTTTATGTATGTATGTATTTTTGACATAGGCATCGAATTGTGCCTTCCTTTGTAAGCCGCCCTGAGTCCCCCCTTGGGGGTGAGAAGGGCGGGGTAGAAGTAACTGAAATAAATAAATAAATAAATATAAATAAACTTCTGATCCCAAAATTCCTGACAGCTGGCCAAACTGTCTGGGGCCTCTGGGAATTGAAGTCTCAACGATCCAGAGGACCAAAGATTGGGAATCATTGACTAACTGGAACAGTGCAAGCAATGCTATCTGCTATTTCCTTGAGTGAGACAAACAGGAATTTGGGGGAGGGAGGCAACCAAAAATACAGAATTTATCTAAGTTACTGTATATACTCGAATATAAGCTGACCTGAATATAAGTTGAAGCACCTAATTTTACCACAAAAACTGGGAAAATGTATTGACTCAAGTATAAACCGAGGGTGGGAAATGCAGCAGCTACTGGTAAATTTCAAAATAAAATAGATATCAATAAAATTACATTAATTGAGGCATCGGTAGGTTAGTTGTTTCTGAATATTTACATAAAACTGTAATTTAAGATAAGACTGTCCAACTCTGATTAAACCATTATTCTAACCTTCTTCAATGTAAATGTGTGTCACTCCTCAGAGTAGATCACCTTGCTGAAAAACACCAAATTGCACACAGCCAGAAGTCTTTATAGTTTATTAAAAATAAAAGATTAAAGGTCTTAAAAGCAAAGGTAATGTTTCAAAAGATCAATATAAAATACCACTTTGAAGATTAATCCAAAAAGGCACCAGCAAAACAAAAACCCAAGAGAACATGCAAGATAATCCATAGAAGCAAAGCAAGCTTCTTGGTAAAACGCAGAGTTGTCATGACAAAGATTTGGTCTCAAACACACTGCTTAATACCCTTTGCAAAACATGAAAGCATTTCTTTGGCCTCTGGCCTCCCTCTTGTTAGCTATTCTCACACTCCCTCGAACTCAGAATTCCAAACGGTCAGCCCAATCTAAGGTTCCCATTTCGTCAAGGTCAGTCTGTTCGTTAGTATCAGCCTGTTTCCCTGCTTGCTCATTATCAGGCTGAGAACTGCCCTCCTTCTCTGAGTCAAACTGCACCTGCACCTGGCTATTTTCAGTATCAACACTCTCATTCCTTGCTGTGGGAAATTGCACTTCTTCACTGTTTATAACAGGGACGTCTAAACAGGGACATTTTGAACCAGACTGTGAACCTGAGTCCCATCATCCTCATCAGAGACACTCTGTGATTCCAGCTGAGTCACAACACTGTGCTTACTTATACTTCCAATAATAAAAAAGAGTAAAATAATAAATGTAATAAAATAATAATAAAATAATAAATGCAATAATAACAATAACAGAGTAAAATAATAAATTTAATATTAGTAATAATAGAGTAAAATAATAAATGTAAAAATAACAATCGAGTAAACAAATGTACATATAATAATAATAATTATTATTATATGTACATTTGTTTACTCGATTGTTATTTTTATATTATATTATTATATTATTATTATTAAACTTTATTTGTACCCTGCTAGCATCTCCCAAAGGACTCGATGCGGCTTACAAAGGCCAAGGCCTCAACACAACAACAGCAAACAATAACAACACGATACAAAGCAAATTAAAAACATAAGCAATAACAAAACATTACACTATTACGCAATAAAACCAGGGCCGGACCATTGATGGGTACAGGTTAAAAAGTGCTGGGTGTGACAGATGGTATGTTGGAATTCTGGGCAAGTGCAATGTGCAGAGAGTCAAGCACTCAAATAAGGTGCTTCTGGGGACATAGTGCTGGGAGTTGTCCTATTCTGGAAAGGCACATCGAAATAGCCAGGTCTTCAAGTTCTTCCTAAAGACTGCCAACGTGGGTGCTAGTCTAATATCTTTGGGGAGGGTGTTCCAAAGTCGGGGGGCAACCACAGAGAAGGCCCTGTCCCTCGTCCCCACCAAACGTGCCTGTGACGCC